AAGTTATTCATTGTACTTTATACAAGTGAGTGTGTGTAATACTAACATGTGTTTTAGGTTGTACTTGGTACTTAATTTGGCATAAAATATATATTATTTGCTAATAATTTACCTACAAGAATATGAATAGATAGATGATGTGAAATTGACAATTTTATGGACACATAAAGATAAAAGTTGCAGGATTGTCGAAACTGGCCAATGTAAAAGCTTATATAATTATTCACCCCAAAATTTGTAATTATTATATTGTAATATTTAAATAATCTCACCTAAATCCTTGTTTAACACAGCTAAAATTGGTGTTCAACCTACCAACACTACTCTAGAATTATATTCACGCTATAATACTTTCACATAGGATACAATTGACTAGAAGTAATTGATAAAACTACATAAAATAAAATAACACTTGGTTAAAATGAAATGTTATCGCAATGTTTTGATTGAACAGTGTTTTTCACTTTGACAGACTTCACCTTAAAATGACCTTCATCCAAATAAAGTTACAGACACAAAATTTTGACACGTTCAATGACTGCTTGACGTCGACTTTGATGCTCATAGTGTACGAGTATACAAATACGATTGAGTCCTAAACAGACTCATTGAAGGTTCACACAATTCTAAAAATTAAGAGTGCTCAATTTACTCATGTGAGTGTTAGTGACTGGTAATTTATGATTGACTGATGAAAAATCAACACTAGACTAGGGCTGCCATAACCGCTGAATCACCGACTGCGACATTTGTGAGCAGAAAAGGGTAAACTATAGACAAATTCAAAAGTTCGATGAAAATAAAACTAATTTTATATTTTTTTATAATCAGACCATACTTGGTACTTAGTACATTTGCCCTATTCATGTGGTACCCGAGTGTGTATGTAGTGTTTCAGCTAAAAACCACCCGAACGGCAAGCCGCCTCTTCACCCACCAGCATGGCAATAACGATTGTTGGCAGGGGACAGGTCTCATATCATATCAATATCAGTATATCACACATATATTTTTTTTTACACAGTTTATAGGTACTCCGTCATATCCCTACCTCGATAAAATCAAGAAAAACACCAACGGTTTCAAATCGAAAAAATGATTTTAAAGAGATTGGTTTGATTGGTTTTAAACCGACCTTATATCTATAATCTGGTTATCAGAACGTTGAAAGAGTATTTATCTTCAGAACCTATCTTAACACCGTGAACACATATTTCAAACTATATATGTCTCCTTCGATCTAGCTACCAAACCAGGACAAACAACTTATTGACCTGGACACCGGGACATAACGCTTCACCGGGCCATGTCCCGATGTACCGGGACATATGATGGAATTAAGCGCAAACTCAGATTGATCGTCAGTCTTTTGTCTTGGTGCTTGTTTAATAGGCTGTATGTCTATTTTACTTCTTTTTTTCTCTCGGTTTGCTTAGGAGGAAAGTGAATTTATTATTGCTTTGGATCTTCTTATCTCTTATTTGGGTAATAGGATCCAGAGAGTGGAAGTTAATGGACAGAGATCGGGGTCTCTGGTCACAATGGGGGTTCCGCAGGACTCAATTCTCTACCTATTTTTATTTCTTGTTTACATAAATGACCTACCTAATGTGATAAATGATAATCAGGAGATAGTACTATTTGCGGATAACACCACTTTTATCCTCTTGTATGTTGAATGACATTAGCCCATTTTGCATTAGGTACCTACCTGTTATACCGGGAGCCGGTATGATCAACAGACAGCCCATTTTTGAGATAGACTTTTACTGTAACTGGATTTTCTCCGTATCTAGTAGGAATCAAGTCAATTCAAGTTAAAAATCTTATTGGAAATTGAATAATCTTTATTCACTTTCAACCATTTCTATATAAATACTCAATTATAGCTAACATAGAACTTTCAACATAGGGTACTATGATATTTAGATAAGTTTCGGTTATAATTTTAATTACAACAATATTTGGAAGTTCATAAAATATTTTATTTACAACTTATCACATTAGGTATAAAATACAACTCAAACTTCAAGTGCCACCATACATATTTTTTACACAACACATGTTCTTAATATAGTCACAAAGAACTGCCACTTAACAAGTCCTCAAAAGTGGGTATAATATTTCAACCTAATTTTAAATGACTTATGCCGATATGGACTAAGATGCTTTGTTTATTAGAAACTTAAGCTTATAAACTATGTATTACAAATGTATCGCAGCACTATATTACATATATCTTGAGTAGGAGTTAAACAAAAATAACTCAAAAATTTGGGTCAAAAATTACATACATTTAAAAACATAGTTTTTGGAAAAAATATTGCAACTAACGGAACTTTTAGACATTTTCTAATATTTAGATAGATTACAGCATCAAAACAAATCAACAGAACAATACAGTTCTAAGAAATATTTCAAGATGTAAGTTGATAAAAGTAGTAAAAAATGGTTCATTTTGGTACCTGAGAAGTTAAAAAAGTATGGATACGACTTTTCGTATAACATATTTTCAAGGTATGGTTCTCACGAGTATAGTGTTTGTTTTTTTACTAACGTACATTCAAAACGTTTTTATCTAATTGGGGTATATGAGCTTTGCACTTTAATATGTTACACATTGCATAGGTCAAAAAAGTGGATTCCGGTCACATTCCGGTAACGTAACGGTCAGTTTTTTTGAAAAACGCCCATATACCAAAATACTAACCAGAGAGCTGCCAACAGAATGATTTCAACGCTAAATCTAACGTTTTTTGATAAATTTACCACTGCATTTGAGTAGTTGATATTTACACATTTAGTATAAGTACTTTTATAAATTTTTGCTAATTCAAAAAATGAATATTGCAGTCATAGCTAATGATAAGATCAAATATAGTCCCTGATTTCGTGGGATATTGCTTGTAGAATACAAGGGTTAGCAGCACTGATATTTCTTGTAGATTAAAAGGGTTGGCAGCACTCTCAAATAATGATGACTGTAATCCAAACGAACGACGCAACCGAGGGAACTACAATTATATATTTTACCCAAAATATTGCTAATAATAATAAATATAGATAGATAGATAGATATTTTTAATGAAAATGAAACCTACGTAAATAAAGAAATAAATACGTAAAAATATTACTTACAAATACATAAATATACATATACAGCCTTAATTGTCTTACTGTTTCACGATTTGGACAAATATACTTACCTTCCTAATTCCCACTGAACTGGCGACATAAAGCGTTTCAGACTCCTGTGTGTTCCTGAGTAGCTGTGCGTATAGGTATACTGTTTGTGTGATGTGTTACTGTTAAGTGTGATGTGGCTCAAAGCAGGTGAACACGCACAGTGGAACATTGCACTGCCTGCAATATGCAGTTGTACGTTTTTTGCATACAACGCAAAATCTGCGCTGGCGTTCGTGTTGTTTTCCGGCCAGAAAGTCATACTGAGCCGGAAAATGTCCCACTGGTCGAGCTGTACCTGCTGAGGGTGAAAGTGGCTTGTGTTTTGCGACCAATTCCCTTACCAAAGTTTCACGGAACCTTCGGTGGGTAAGAGGTCGCTGTGTGCGGAGGAGTATGAACGCATTCAGGACACTAACATTTAACAGACGTCTGAAAAACTTTTTGTACCACACCCGATTCCGCCGTCTTTCTATTGGGTACATGGCAATCATTTGATCTTTGCGATCAACACCACCCATGCACACATTGTAATCGGGTACTATTGAGGGCTTTAGTACGTCGCCACACTTCACCGTTGCTAACCCATGGTACGTCGAGATAAGAGAAACGAGGTTCTTATCTCGCCATACCACCAAATCCACATCGCCTGAAGTGCAGCCACAAACTTGGCCTACAGCCAAAGCTCCCTTGGTCAGATTAGTCAGTTCAGTGGGAACAAACTGACGGTCCAAGCGAAGAGTGCCAACACAGTCAAATCCCCGTACCTTTAACTCTCGCGCAAGCGCAGGAGAGTTATAAAAGTTATCCATCCAAACCGTGTGGCCCTTGTGCTCAAGACCATTGAGAAGTTTAAGCACAAGTACCGGCACAACCCCAGACAAAGGACTATCTTGTGGAGATTCGTCATGCCCTACGTGCACTTCAAACCGCCACAAATAGCCAGACTGGGACTCACAAACCTCGTAGGTTTTGATTCCGACTGTGGCTGCTTTATTTCGGATGAATTGATTAATATCTAACCAACCCTTCCACTGTGTCAGACTTTCATCTAATGCAATATTTTGTGATAAAATATATAACTGTTGGAACCGCTGGTTAAGATGATCTGTAATAGGACGCACCTTAAAAAGCTTTGCCTCCGATCGCGTCATTGTGTGTGGGTTGCAGTCATCATTATTACAGAAGTGGAGACATTTAGAAAGCAAGAAGTAACGGTCAAAGCTCATCGTTGCTGAAAACCCAGGAGAAGATAATAAATCCTGGGCTGTATTCCAGTATGAGTCTGCACGTGATTTCACAATAATCCCAGTCGCTAGGAGTATTGCGAAATACACGTACAGCTCATCTGGATTCGTATCCCGCCATCGCGTGATACGACTGGTTGGCAAAAGTAGCCCCTGATGAATCATGGCCGTTACCTCTTGCTGAGCATATCTATTTGTCTCCATTGAAATGTGCTCCATTATTTGGCGATCCCATATAGCAGTAAATGCCTCATATGGGCTCGCCAATGGAACTGTGGGACCACAATTGATTTCGGAGAATGGTTCCTTTCTCAATTCAGGAGGAATTTGAGATTCTGAAAACCCTCTCCACTTAAAATCAAACTTATTGTATGGCTCGGCGCTGGCTTCGGGGTCGGCACTGGGTTCAGGCTCGGCGTTGGGTTCGGGCTCGGGCTGGGCGCTAGGTTGGGGCTGCAGGCCGGAGGGAAATTGAGGTGGCCACTCAAAGCCTATAGCAGCGTTTATCGGTGGCACCTCAGTGTCTTCCTCAGACATAAAAAGTCTTTCAGCTCTCCTCGGCAGATGCACTGGCTGAACTAAATCTTCATCTTCATCATCGCTGTCAGCATCCTCTTCACTGCCTGTGTAAATAATAATAATATACTGTAGTCTGTTTTACCTATGTAAACAGATATATATATATACTACTAAAAGATAGGTCTGAAAGAAAAATATTCACTTACCATGATTCAAGATTCGGGCAATTTCCTCGTCCCTCAAAGGAGGAGCTCTGACGGCTGATGATGAAGATGAAGCCCCGTCTGGAGGAATCCTTAGAAAATATGAAAATCAGTACCAGTATCGTAATAACTAAAAATATTATTATGCTCATTTTTGAACTTACAAGCACCGCCTCGAAGCCGGAACCTCCTCGCCCTTTCCAGTAGAGTCATTATTTCTATAACAACAAAAAGATGTAAATATTTTTTCTTGTTTCATAAAATAAAACTTTAGAAACAAATAAAATAAAATGAAAACTTACGCGGGTCTCTTTACAGTGGTAATTCGGGGAGTTGACTGCCCGCTCCCACCACATTCAACATACCTGCAAATATAAGTATTCGATGTTAATTGTTACGGTTGATAAAGAAACAATGCAAAAGAAAATAATGCAAAAAATAAAAAAAGTGCAAACATATTATTTTCTTAAAGCTTCTTTAAAAATAGCTCAATACAAAAACCAAAAGAAAAACCGATAATGAAAAAAATTCCAAAAATAAAAAATAAATTAAAATTTTAATGCATACAAAAACATTCCTGAGGCAAAAGTCAAACGTATGCTGTTGACGTAACCGGCTCCCGGTATGAGACTATGTACTCCCATTTTCATTACATATTTTCATGTTTTTGAAAGAAATATAATGCTACCTATGAAATATATCAAAACTAATTATTTTTACGTCTTAGATCTAACATCAACTTGCCTTTTCATCCATTTTTGGTTGAAATATGACGACAATAAAATCGTCGTCACGTGTTCGACATTGAACATGCTGATAGTTACAGACCGATTTTTAGTGAAAATTAACAGAACTATTATTTGTATACATAATCAATAATTACTTACCCTTCCATCGTTTTTTCTAATATTCAGCGAATCACTTCAAGATAAAACACAAGTTTTCACCAACACAAAAAATAAGTAGTCACCTAGGCGATGGCGGAGTTTTGACTGACTCTTGTTTACATTTTTTTCACTAAAGCTGCCCGAGATTTTGGCTTCACTAGTCAGCCTGTTTCTTCTTTATGCATTTGTAACGTGTTAGAAAGGATAGGGTATATACAATGACGTGCTTTAAAGCGATTATATTATGAGAACACACTTACCCATACCGGCTCCCGGTATGTCAACAGTTCCGGCGAAAATGTGTTTATACCGGGAGACGGTGTTTCAACATACAAGAGTTTATTTAAACTTAAACGACAGCAATCAGTAACTGATGACATGAATAGCACTCTCTCTAAGGTTGTGAACTGGTTTAATGTTAATAATTTACTTTTAAACGAGAATAAAACGAAATGTATTAGATTTTTTACACCTAATGTTACGCAAGTAAAGACCAATGTTCTAATAAATGGAAAGGAGTTGGATCTTGTGGACACCACCAAGTTTTTAGGTATAACACTAGACTCTAAATTGCAATGGGGCCCACACATTGACGGATTGTCGAATAGACTCAGCTCTGCAGCACAGGTACGCGGTTTACAAAATTCGTCAATTAACCGATGTAGAAAATGTAGAAACAGCTAGACTGGTGTATTTTAGCTATTTTCATAGTGTAATGTCATACGGTATTTTGTTGTGGGGAAATGCTGCTGACATTCAAAGTATCTTTGTGTTGCAAAAGAGAGCTATTCGTGCAATTTATAATCTTAGTTTAGACAGTCACTGACATTGATATAATACTTACATAGATGAGTAATTACCGAATAAAATCGTTGCTACTGCACATATGTCCACAGGCATATGCGTAGCAAACGTCAATTCATTATTCAATGTGGCGTCAACCGAGTTGAACATAGCGACACATGACAGTAACAATCGCCAAAATGGCTAAATGCGTAGTGAAAGAACGCGATTCAAGGTCACAAAACATTAATAAATCCTGCGGAATTACTTTTCACGTGTAAGTTTATGGTTTTTGTATTGATAATATCGTAAATAAGGCTATAATTGAAATAAAACACTGATAATTGTAATTTAGAATCAGTGTTACCATTAAAAAATCATTTTGGTTTTCCCACATTAGTGGGAGAATTTATAATTTATGAAATAATATTCTTTATACTGTTTTTAAACATTTTGCCAATAATAATAAAATAAAGGAAGAACGGTAGTTGTTAGGGCTGGACCGATCCCTTTTTTTAGGGACCCGTTGAACGTTCACTGTGAGCTTGGCAGAAGTGCCAAGCTCGCAGTGCTGGAGACTTTTGTACAAAAAAATTAATTCATTGTTTTTCTTAATTTATTATCAATTTTAAATAATAATTGTACAAAATAATAATAATAATAATAAATGTTTATCATAAAAATAAAAATATAAAATAAAAAAGTAAATAAACATAAATAATTTTTTTTATAAAATAAAAATAAAAATTTTTTTTTTTTTTTTTTTGTTTTTTAAATTATAATAGAATTTGCAATACACCCTGGGGATTATTTATTATCAGTACAAGTTGATCATTCACTTTTACTATTAAATGCTATTATTTTTACATACGTAAAAATAAGATTGTATCATGAAAGTAAAATATCCACACAAACTTATAAAAAAGAGTCTAAAAGACAATTGTATACAAAACTGATGCTTCACAGCGCAGTTTGATTTTACACTGAATATAAACCCTTTTAACCAAATATTTCCAGTTATTTTATTATTTATACCTATTCTATTCAATTCGAAATATATTATTTAGAATATTTAAATCAATTTATTTTATCACAAAATTGTTTTTAAAAAAATTTGTTTCTTAGTTGTTATGGGTAAAATTTCATACGGTAGTCAACACTGGCCCACCATCGTAAAGTTATATCTTTGTCTTTGTCTAATCCGAGCGATGGTATTGTTCTTGTCTCGCGTGTAAATGAGACATAAATATGTTTACTTTCAAATGTTTAGTGGTATCAAAGCTACGTCGTCAAAGTTCAAAAGTGGTTACACTTTTTTCGACGTGTGATAATGAGGTTTGCTTCTCTAGTGTTGTTTTAACTCAATGGTCACTGAGGGATAAGTTTAAAGAAATTGGTATCATGACAGTCGCATCTCAATACATAGATGAAAATTTTGTGTTTGTAAAGAAAAATAATCATTTATTCACAAAGTTTAGCGACATGCATAAAATAAACACTAGAAATAAAGATAAACTCGTGTTACCAACCACTAGACTACAAAAAGTAAGCAAGTCTTTTCGTTGTCAGGGTGTGCGATTTTACAATAAAGTGCCAAGCAAATTCCATGAATTAAGTATTAACAAATTTAAGTCTTTAGTAAAGCTAAAACTATGTGAAAAGGCTTACTACACTATTACAGACTATTTAGACGACACACGATGGCTGGAGCCTGTATGCCGTCTGTATGGACAGGCTGACTCAAAACTATGGTCCTTTCCTCAAAAGGCCTATCCAGACCCTATACTGTAACTTTGTTTACGGACTTTAAAAAAAAAGACACCTCTGTGGTTTGTTTCGGCGTTTCTTCCCAGAGTGAGTCTTAGGAAATGCCGGCTCCTTCTAGCTATAAAGTCCGACTTGTAAAAATATCTGAAAAGATTTACTTACAGAAATAAATATCATTTATTATGTTTTCAACTCCTTCATACTTCTGATTAATTTTAACAACAACACAAGACACACACAAGACAGTATAATCGTAGGTGAGCCATGCTTCGGCACGTATGGGCCAAGCAAGTCCGACCGGAGTGATACCACGGTCTCACAGAAAACCGGCCTTAAGCAATTCTTTCGTTGCCTTTAACCTAGTGACTGAGGTTACTGGATATCATTTTTGAGATTATGTTTTCTGATATAATTAATATAAGTATGTGGATTGTGAGTTTTATTTTAATATAGTTTAATATTAAAATTGCGTCCAATCAAATATAATAGAATATTTACAAGTATTAACACATATTAAACATAACTAAGTGTGATAATTAAGAAAACCACATTGGTTTTATTTATTTATTGCAGGTTTTCTAAAGAGCCGAGCTTAAGGGTTATATGGGCGTTATATGAAAGTACTTTTGGAATAACAGATACCTGGATACCTACAAGAAACAGTGCCATTTGCTTAGTGCTTGAGCATTTCAAAACCTCTAACTTTTAACTGTTGGCGAACAATAGAAGGATATGTGTTCTGTGGATGGAACGACTCGTGCTGCTTCCTACGTTTGGAACTTTACATGTGGAGAGCGCTTATGTTTATCCTCTATGGAGAACGAACATTAACCATTATAATCTTATACATATAAATGGTTTTACGATGCTATTTTAAGCAATACAGTATTATTGCTTACCCAATTAAATACGTTACATACGTTGTGCAATCAATGTAGATCAAAATATTTTCATTTAATGATATGCTAAATCATTAAAATACATATCTTAGGCCCGGGGTTCTCTGAACGTCGGTCGCGTGAGACAGGCGACCGACGCGTGTCCGCCGCGGGTGGCGTACGAATGCTATGTACGGAAATGCTCTGGGTTCTCAGAAACGTCGCCGGACAAGGTCGCACGCCGCACGCGTCGGTCGGTGTCATTTTTTAGGCCCGGTGTTCTCGGGGTTTTAATAAAGGAAAATGAATTATTGTAATATTGGAGGCGGAGGGGCCGTCTCGGGCCGTACGTCCGTTCCCGAGGCCTATTAATATTGTATTATAAAGCTATCATGTAGTACAGTCTAATCATTAATATAATTAATTACTCCAATCTGTGGAACGGGTTATCGTCTGCGGTATTTCCGGACCGATACGACCTTCAAACCTTCAAGAAAAGAGCGTACTCCTGCCTAAAAGGCCGGCAACGCGTTTGTGACTCCTAAGTTGCAGACATTCATGGGCGGCGATTGTCACTTTCCATCAGGTGACCCGTCTGCTCGTCTGCCCCTTCTAACATAAAAAATAAACACTGACACCACATTAGTATCTTCGTATCTACATTACACCCATAGGAAGTAGTGCGCTATTGTATGCGTATAATAATATAATGTATATAAATACTGTTTACATTAGGATTGGCAAATAAAACCAGATTTTGTAACATCATAATATATCAAAAGCTAAAAAGATTTTGCTCAATTGCTTTCTCAGACTCCCAGGCTTCAGCTGACTCAGGGTCATGCTTGAACTTTTTTACTTTTTTTGGAGCAGGGCCCTCATCATCTAAGTGCTTGCGCTTTTTTCTCTTTTTCTCACTTCCTTTCAACATAACTTCAGGTTCTAAAATTGTTATCACTTCACACTTGGAATCGGTTTCCTCATGTTTTAGATTATTTGTATCTTTTCTATGCTTTTTCTTTCTTCGCTTCTCAGTAGTAAAGGTTTCCTCTGGTTCGTTTTGTAAATTTAATTGTTGTGCAATAGCACTAGGTATTTTCAAAGCTTTTTTGTAATTAGATCCAAAAAGTGGGTGGCGACATTTAGTTTCCGGTAGAGGTATAAAATTTGTCTGATTGTTTACCATAATGTTGTCATCATGGAAATGTGCTTTAGGAATTCTTTTACGAAACTTTATTATACCGCTTAGTGGTAAATTGTTAATTTGATATTTAGCATCTCCCATTGTCAGCACAGCAGTGGTGTCACATCCTTCACTATCTAAAGTGCCATCATATGTCTGACCTCCTACCTTCATTTTGCTCTTCCCATTGATGTTCAAGTCTGCATCACAAAAACCCTCTACATCTATGTCTTTTGGACAGTGAACAATCCATAGCTCATCATCACAGGTAAGGGTGGAACTATGACTTAATTCTTGAGAGATGAGCTTCATGTTATCAATAGTTTTGATGAACTTTTTTAGTTTTACTGGTGTCATATCACTTGCATTGTTATAAGTCTGGCTCACTTCTGTCTCAGAATCATCTTCAAATCTAATGCGGTCTGACAAGCGAGGTCTTCTATTATGTGTAGCTTCAGGTTCATCATGGTTGTCCATCTTAAATTGATTTATAATGGCGGTTTTGTAAAGGCTTTCACCTTTATTTTTACTTTCAACATTCTCACCAGAGTTGAATGACAATGTATGAATATTGTGATCATCACTTTGTATAGCAGATATATCATCATAACTTTCATTTCCAAATGTATTGTCCGTTACTAAAGTGTCTTCCATTCTACTAATCTGTGAGTTACTATGAGACGCAATTTCTTCTTTACTAACAGTATCTTCACAGTCTTTATAACAACTGCTTTCAATTTCTTCTTGAGTTTCACTTTCCCTTCTTCTCTTTGACTTTTTTTTCTTCTTCTTTGTTTTGATTTCTTTATCTAACTGACTGCTTTGACTTTCATTATGGGAGTCCGGACTAGGCTCTTTGACCCTACATTTTTTCACATCTGTTTGACTTTCTTCAGCACTCTCGCTCAAGTTTCTCTTCTTTTTTATTTTATTACCTGATAGTGAAGCTGCCATTTCCTCCTGCTTTACTTTTAGATCGAGGTAGCTTTCATCATAACAATTAGAGTCGCGTCCAGGCAAGCCGTTTTCGTTGCTATTAACTTCGACGTGTTTGTTTTTCTTTTTTTTCCTTGGTATCTCACAATCACTTTCAGGCTCTACCTTGACCATATTGTTCTGTGCACTATTACGTGTTCCACAATTCAACTGTTTGTGACTTAGCTCCTCTGTATCGTGTCTCAACTTAGCCTCTTTACAATCGCTTCTCCTCGTATGTTTATCAGCTCTCAAATTCTTATCTGGTCTTTCAACTGCCGGCCTGAAAAATTACGAATTAAATAAATAAATAAATGTGTACCATACCACTGCGGTAATGATTTTCTCCCATTCTTAATAACAAGTATTTCCAATTGAATATTGCCTCTCTTGGTTTATCTTAGACTTACATCGGCTGGCTCTCAATACTATCACTGGAAGTATCAGTCCAAGTAAAACTATCTTCAGAAGACGATTCCATCAATCTACATTCATTGAAGAAACCCTCATCAAATAACGAAAGACAAAGACTATGAAGAATATGAAGTACTATAACTAACCTCAAATCTAAAGTAAATGTCTTTATATTTGAATTGTCAAACACAAATGTGCCAACAGTAGTGTAGCCAACAGTTAATTTAACTCTCCACCAGATTCAACATCTAAAACTATTAGAAAACTACTAATGAAAAACAAACAGGACTCTAATAGTCGTTAAATTTTCAAGTAAATTGTTTTTTAGTTATTGCAAAAGAAAAAAAAAATTATATTAATTATTAGTTTCCTTTTTTACTAATACTTACAGTCAATAAATACATACATACAAGGAGGCATATAAAATAAATTCGTTTTTGTCTCCACCATCAATATGGTTGCAGATTGATACGGTTCTTTGGTACGAATTTGTTTAACAACCTTTATAATGTCTTTGTGTGATCCACAAATGATTGTTCTGAGTCTGGGTTTTCTTTAGGTCCGTTTCATATACTATGTTTGTAAAGTCCCCCACGGCAAATGATATATTCCTAGTGAGAGCGTTGTCTGTAAAATAAGTTTTCATTTCTCTTCTGGTACTCAACTGGATCATCAAACCAGAAGTCCTGAACGATATCGCGTCTGCTCAGACCTAATATGGTAAACTTTTTCCATCCTTCCCTTCCTATTGAAGGTTCTTGAGGTTTACGTTGAAAAAGAGTTCTCACAGTTCACCTTTCATCATCATCTCCTATCTAGTCCTCTTCGATGTTACGATTACTACTAAGCCACTAGAAAAATCAACGAGCCACTAAAATAAATATTTCGCCACCAACGGGAGCGTTGAAACCACCAGTTTTAGTGGAAAATCCACCAGGCTGGCAACACTGGCCAAAGAGTAACAGCACTGGTAAGTTAGCGTTTTCCATCGAGGTGTAAAATTATACCAAAGAAGCCTAATTTTATTGACTAATCACACCGTTATCATAATTAGACAGTCTAATTGACATACAGACAACCAGTTTAATACATTTTTAATATAAAACACTATTTATTTTTGAATTATGAATGATTTTACACATATTACACGACTTTAAATATACACCTGAATTATAAATTACACATTGCATATTTACAATATTATAAACATGAAAGTAATGGTGTGGTATCCGGCAATTTAGTAGTAGATAATTTATCTCCTCTACTTTGGAGAAGAACATAAGTTCAAAAGTTGAAGTAAGAGATAGATGTGTGATGACTTCACGCAGAAAAAGCAGAGGATATTAGGCAGTAGCTAAATTAAATTTATTCTAAATAATCTTAACCAAATAATTTGTTAGTTAAGATCATACTAACACAAGTCAAAACTGACTGTGCACTAGCTTACATCTAAAGCTCTTAAGGGGACCATAAAACATATCGGAATTGTAGGCGTCTGAGCTCCCTTACAGATTTACACTCTGAACAGATTAGTATCAGATGTGTTTTTTTTTGGCAATTGGTTCTTTAAACTTCATACATACGCTTACTGTATACGCACGTACAATACATTGGCCAGAAACGTACACGAGCTGTGTGTAAAAAAATTATAGAGATCATCATTGTCATTAAAAGCCTTTAATAGTGCCATGCTGAACATAGGCCTCTTCTTATGTTTTTTGAATATATTTTTTTTCAAAAAGCTATAACATTTTATAACAACTATAGCATTTCTCCAAGTCTGCTTATTCGTGGTATAAATTGCTTGTACTTGTTAGCAAAAAAATGTTGTGTCTTGATTGTAACAATAATAAGAAAATATGAAAACATCTTGGCCAAGTTTCTTAAGACTTTTTGTCAGTCAGTTGCAAGATGGAAGCCTCAGAAGATTTTGTTGAATAAAAATTTAAAATATTTTATTTTTTATTTCACCTCATGATCGTCCCGGTTAGACAGAGAGTATAGAACGTTATTTGCCATGATTCTGACTAGCAGCTCGATACTCTTTCACATTCAACAAGCCTTGCTTACCCACTCGCCGGTTACGGGTGCTTTTAACGAGGCCATTTTTCCTTCCCACAGCGGCTTACCTTCTAACTGGAGCTTTATAAATTCTAGTCATTCGCTTATCGCTTAGGATTTTAAAATTGCCAAACCATAGCAGCGTCACTTTCTCAACAACCTTTGTCCAGTTAACTTGAAACTTATCACTGCCTATCCAAGGTAAAATAGGTGAAACAACAGATCTACGGTCAGTTCTTCGCTAGCCCTTAACATTTCAATAATCAACAATCATAAAAAAAATAAACCCCATCTGGCTATATCCTGCAGCTTTTCCTGCTTTGTAGTTTTCATGGCCTTTTTTATCATCATCATCAAAAGTCTTTAATAGACTTCACTCATCTGCTGGACATAGGCCTTTACTATCTCTTACAGTCTTTTTCGTTTTTTGGAAACACCTAATTCCTCAAACATCAACATCCTACATCATTGGTTTAATCCTCTTCAAACAACTCATGAAACTGAACACATTCTTGATTTAAAACTTTAAAAGTGAATTACTAAAAATCTTAGTGAGTCATTACTACCTAGATAAAGTTAATAAAGTTCTTCAAATTAAAATATAACATATATATAAAATATTTAACGAAATATTTCAACAGTACATTACTACTAACAAAACAATTCAATATTTGGCCCTGGTAACACTGATTTCGATTCGATCATTGACAGGATCGCGATCAACTTGACGTTTCTTTCCTTTTAAAAATTTGTGTTCAACATGGTGAGTTCGTGGTTAAAATTCCATTAAAATCTGTTATAATCTTAAATGTTAAATTGGTTTCGTATATAACTTTGCAGTGATACTATAGAATATGCTCGAAGCAAATAAATTATTACAATATTTTTTGGCACCGCTGCATATTTTGTGTGTATTTGATTGATTACAAATACTGTTACTGAGATAAAACCTTCAAAATGTAACGAGGATGTACTTTGTGGTTACGTTCCCTAGTGGATATTTTTTGTCTTGAGCGTGCCACAGTTTTCGTGATTATTAAAGAGGTTATGTTTGTCATAAATAATTTTCCCATGTCCAGGCGCGCGGGCCAAAGAAGCATCTGAAGCGATTAAACGCTCCAAAAGCATGGATGTTGGACAAGCTCGGCGGTGTGTACGCACCGCGGCCTTCCACCGGTCCACACAAGCTCCGAGAATGTTTACCCCTGGTGATTTTCCTGCGGAACAGACTTAAGTATGCTCTCACAGGCAATGAGGTACTCAAGATTGTCAAGCAGCGCCTTATCAAAGTCGATGGCAAAGTGAGGACTGACCCCACGTACCCTGCTGGGTTTATGGGTGAGTGATACTTGTTTTAAAATGACTTTCGTTCTAGACAAAGTTTTCCAAGAGTTGTTAAGTTTAGTGCTGTTTTTGTAGTTTAGTTTCATAGAAAATGATTAAATATTTATGGAAGAGAAAGTTGCTTGTTTTGATATTTGTCACATATTAAGTTACTCCCCTGATACCCTCAGTCATTGGTGAAATTGTGGTTACACTCTACCACAAAACCATTAACCAAAAGTTGAAGTTGACCCTCAGTCCAGGCTTGTAGTGTTGGTATACCAATATGGAGGTATACAAATATTCATGACAATATGTTCACATTCATGGTAATATGTTTATAATTGTTGTGGTGGTTGCAGATGTTGTGTCCATTGAGAAGACAAATGAACTGTTCCGTCTCATCTATGACGTAAAGGGACGTTTCACTGTTCACCGCATCACCCCTGAGGAAGCTAAGGTTTGTGTTATTAAAGCTCATTTACATTGTTTTCATAGTTTGGGATCAGATAGCCTGTGAGACGTGTGAAGCTTTTATTATATAAACTATTGATTAAAAACACAATTTAGCATATCACAACTTTTGATTGTTATTATCTGAGTTTACAATAAATTTATAAATAGCCTATGATTAGCTAATGGTAGCAGTCAATGTAAAGCAAGCCATGCTTTTTTAAAATCAAAAATATTTCTCTGTATTCACATGCAGTTGAGTTGTCATTGGTCCTTGATATCTTGATCTCAGTTTTTAACAAACTTAACATTACCACACTCCATTAGCTTGTAAATATCATTGAGTTTTATTACAAACCTATGTAGAATTTATTTTCTGAAATGAATATGCTCATTGCTATTAATTTAAAACAAGTTATACAAAAGTCTGAACATGTGTTCACTGGTAAATCTCCTATTTTGAACTTTGTTATGTATTGTTTATAGATCTTTGACTTATTAATTATACTATTTTACTAAACCATATTTAATGTTGTAAATCAATTGCAGTACTTTAAATAGTTCAATTAATTTACAGTACAAGCTTTGCAAAGTGAAGCGGGTAGCAACTGGCCCCAAGAACGTGCCCTTCTTGGTGACACATGACGGCCGCACCATCCGTTACCCCGACCCGCTCATCAAGGTCAATGACTCCGTTCAACTGGATATTGCCACATCTAAGATCATGGACTTTATCAAGTTTGAATCAGGTTTGTGTACCAGCATTTCCTACTTTCACCTTTTGTTTTGGTCATCTATGACTTGCACATACTTCACTGCACAAACACATGCTCTTAGAGAATGATTAGGAAGTCCTGTCGGCCTACCATGAACTCTTAAAACAATTTTAGCTGAGAATTGAACGGTGGCCTTATTTTGTACCATACATGAGGTGATTAGCAGGCGAGTTAACATTTCACCGGCTTGGCGTTACCTTGAACAGATTTTTTTATGATGATGCAGTCATGTTTCCCAGGCGTATAATAGTAGTTTTTATTGAACTGTTTTGTATAATTTGAATTAAAAATGTATAATAATAAAAAACACATACAACATAACCTTAAATTAATAGATCTAAATGACTCCCTGTATATAAATCTACAGAAACCAGCAATATTAAACACATGCTAATGATCTTTATCATAGATAACAAAGAAAACGAAAACTGCTACATAACTAAACCACACACCTCACTGTATTTACTTGGTTTTGATCTGTAAATACAGTTAAAACCAGCCTCAAGCTGAGAAAGAGCAACAAAATAAAACCATTTATTCCCCACATAAGATTGCACAATAAAACTTAATCTTAAGACATAGAATCACAATAACAGTATAGAATCAAAGTAAAAATAATTGTTATCAATATCTATGTCTAATTACATTTATTTCAATTGCTAGAGGTTGTCCCAAACAAGTTGAATAGGACCTCTATTCTTAAATATTTATTTCACTGTTCACAGCTCCTTTATAATTTAAGGTTCTAAGGTACTTAAGTTTCAGAAATTTATTTACAATGCACAACATACAAGTATACAACTTATGTCAACATAAATTTTCAAAAATAGGTGAGACATTGATAACTTTTTTCTGTCAAGTATTTATTATAGAAGTGGCTAAAAGACCTCCTATATCTCAGAAGATGCTATTTATTTTTATGTTTGTTCACAGTACTTGATAATAAGATATGATTATTTAAATAATTAGATTCTAGATTTATAACACCGATAAAATGTTTGGTTTATGACATAAGTATAGGTGTGTTGTTGCCAAATTGACCAGAGATAATTATTCAGAACAGGAATTGATACATTGCAATTCAGACGAAAAGCTTCATGGTACTAATAAAATACCTGTCAGGTTACTTGTAGAGTTGAGCTGCTCTGAACTTGGCAGTTATTCGAAAAGTTTGTGGTAGGCCTCCTGATTTTCTCACAACTTGCAAGCTGTGCAAGTCTTAAATAGAACCTGTTAGTATGCTTTATATTGGCATAATGACGTTCAATACTGCAGTTTGAGCCCCATTTTTTGATCTGGTGCTTGTGGTATTTCATTCCCTCACTTTCTCACCCTTTGTTACCTCCATTTGAAATTCCCCCTTTGTCCTCTGAAAACGATAACATTCCCAAAGCTGGTTGACGTCAGGTAGTCAACCCGCCATAAAAGATACTTAAAGGGTTGCAATGCCCTTGTAAGTTTTTGACCCTATTAGAAGTATGTAATGCATTTTACAGGAAACCTGTGCATGATCACTGGAGGTAGAAATTTGGGACGTGTGGGCACCATCGTGTCCCGCGAGAGGCATCCCGGCTCCTTCGACATCGTTCACATCAAGGACTCCACGGGACATACATTCGCCACTAGGTATAACTTTTACATCAACTTGCTTCATGTAAACATTTTTAATGAATGTAGTTTCGTGTTTGTGCAGAAGAGACTAAGTGCTCTCTCAGGTTTATCACTTTTATTTAATATAGGCCCAGGTGACCTGTCCGCTTGTGTGTCCACTGTACAAAAGAAAATTAGCTGACCTGATAGATAGATAGAGACCTGATAGAAAATGAAGTCGTTTCAGGAAGAATTGCCTGATTTTGCGGGCAACTTTTCTAATTTTACTCGCTCCCTGGAATGACGTCTTATTAAGTGCGATTATTTAAAAGTTATGTTTAGAAAAAGTGATTTCGGTCTTTCTGTAATGAAAGGTGAGCCCCGTGCGTATAGCGTTCCATTTATATTATAATCGAGTATATATATTGGATTCAGCAGTAGAGTATATCGTGTTACTATGTGTATTTACTTTTTAATCGTGCGGCAAACCCGAGACGTGCGTAAGTAGTATCGTTAATCGTCGTTATCGCACGGAATCGATCGAGTCGTCTAGAACGGCTTAATAATAATACATAATACAGAACGATCTAACGTAATATTTAAATATAACCTCGAGCCGTTCGTACGGCTCGAGGTGAGGGATACCGGGAAAGCTGGAATAAATTAAACACGAGTGAAAACGGTCGATTTCGTCTTTAATGACATACGATACGCTGCAGCGCGTCCAATGTGACTCACTCGCCTCGTCCCGCAGGTTAAACAACGTGTTCATCATCGGCAAGGGCACCAAGGCGTACATCTCTCTGCCGCGCGGCAAGGGCGTGCGCCTCACCATCGCCGAGGAGCGCGACAAGAGGATCGCCGCCAAGGTCGCCGGCCAGTAGCCGCTCTTTAATAAATAAGTTCCAACCTCGCGAGAGTCTTTCATTTGTCTCCCGACGTCTCGATACCGGCGTGCGCGCGCACGTGTCGCTCCAGGTCTCGGCGCCGCGCCAGCGCCCGCCCGCACACCGCGCACGTGTAGCGCGCCCCTCCCCCGCGCCCCTCGCCCCGCGCCGCGTGCAGGCGCACGTGCTTGTTGAGGTTGCTGGGGTCGCCGAACGCGCGCAGGCAGTGGCGGCAGCGCAGCGGCCGGTACCCCGTGTGCGTGCGCAGGTGAATCTTGAGTCCGTAGCGCCGCGAGTACACCTTGCCGCAGAACACGCACGCGTGGCCCGCGCGCGACCGGCCCCACTCGGTCGCGAGCGCCTCCAGTTCGGCCGGGTCGGGGACCGGCGCGATCGTCTGAAACGCGGGGCCCGGAGCTTCGCGAAGGCGGGCGGCGGCCTCGCGCCAGAAGTCCCGCGGCGCGAAGGGGCGACAGCCGAGGAACAGGTGCAGCTTGAGCGGGTTCGGGTCGGCGAAGGCGGCGTCGCACTCGCGGCACGCGTAGGGCTCGCGGGGGCGCGGGCGCACGTCGCGCGGCGTGAGGAAGGGCATGTCGAGCGCGGCCAGCGCGTCGTCGCCGAACCACAGCAGCGGCTCGTCGTGCGGCGCGAGGGGCCGCTCGGCGCGCAGCAGCAGGCGGCCGGCGGCGCGGCGCAGCTCGAGGGAGCGCGCGGGGCGGGGGGGGGCGAGGCGCAGCTCCAGGGAGCGCGCGGGGCGGGAGGGGGCGAGGCGCGCGCGCACGCACAGCCGCGCCGCGCCGCCGCCGCCCGTCAGCAGCCCCGCGCCGTCCAGCTCCGCGTACACCTGCGATACCACCGATAACGTTACGTCTTCGATAAACGTGTAACCCGCTAGCGATCTAAAAACCACGAGTTCCGCTCGGCCGCACCGCAGATTACATCGGTAAAACGACTAGAAAGGAAGAAGGTGGTGCCGTTGGGAATGCTAATAAGTGAATTGTAATTTACCAAAGACACGACTGGAGTGGCGTTCGGTTGATCGATAATACTTAAACGATTCGAGTTCTAAGTAATATTACCATAAATCTATTTAATTTGGTCAGTGAGTCTTCAGATCAGATCTATCAAGAGATCTTCTATTTCTGCAATGTTATATATGAAGAGAACGAGAATAACGAGAGCTTTTACTAAAACATAATTTTTACTTACATATTTATTAAGTTTTTAATTAAAACATTATTAGTTACTATTAGTCCCGTGATGTTCATGATATACTCGTACACGCCATTCACGCGTTGAATATATTGAACTATATATTCGACGCGCAATAAAATTAAAAAAGGGAATCAAATTGTGTTTTATCGACACTCAATAGTGCTGCATAGTGCTGCATCCTCTACTGCGGTGATACAGGAATAGAATCCCTCTGGGATGGGATGGGTTACACGGGTGCAACTTGGGGTGTAATCATGTGGAACGCACGCTAAAAACGATGACTCCACGTCGATCGTGATCCGTCTTGCTCTTTGGCCCACTTTACCACGAACAATATTTTTATTACCTGCCTATATTTAGTTCTGAAACTCAAGATTTAGACCGATAGGCAGTCATTTTCTTGAGAATGAGACAAGAATCAACATGTTATAGGTACTCAGATAATGAATTACCCTCGTTGAGACGTAAAATCGATTTGACTATTTTTACTATTTTCTTACAACTCAAAAATAAGTTTTGAAAATAGCAATATAGGACAGCTTACTTAGAATACTAAGATAAGTTAGTACTAAGATTCATTCAAGAATCGTAGTATTTACAAAAACAAGACTGGAGAAGGTCAATGAAGTGTACCAATGTTTTTTGCTATCAGCATAATCTAAAAAGTAGGTATCTTAAACTCGAGAAAAAAGAATCGATTTATATTTTTCCCAATCTACAAAAATGAAATAGTTAAGTATAAGTATGTACCTAGTGTTAGGAATTAATATATATCATTTCGATCAAAAGATATATATCACTCGTCTAGCTCACTAGCTCATTGATCCGATTCAATTGATTGGTCTCTCAATGAATTCATTTCTTCATCTAGATCGTTTAGCTCAGTATACTCGTATATCACTCGCTTCAAGCCTCTCTCGCCATACGAACCTTTCTTTATTTTTATATTAATCTAAATTCACTTTTTGAAACTACATTTTTAACCAATTTTTTAACCGACTTCAAAAAAAGGAGGAGGTTCTCAATTCGACTGTATTTTTTTTTTTTTTTTTTTGTATATTTGATACGCGATTACTCCGGCAATTATAAACCGATTTGAATAATTCTTTTTTTATTTGGTAGGTCATACGTCAGAGGTGGTCCCATTGTCACCAGGTCAGGATCTGATGATGGGATCCTGGGGAAATCTAGGGGAAACCCTCAAATTTTGTAGGCATATACACTGTTTATCAGAAATTATTTTAATCTATGTAGATTTTTGCATCTAATGGTCACCATCTGATGTTGCTGAGCTGATGATGAAGCTGATGATGAATGGTTTAGGAGTATGGGATCTCTGTAACAAAATTATGTAATACCATCGAATTTGAATGTGTTTGAGTCTAATTAATAGGGACTCCGATCCTATGTGATATTCAGGGTCTGATGATGGAGACGGTAAATAGCCATGGGAACTCTGTAATAAAATAAAGCAATTCCGCCGTGTTTGTGCTCATTTGATTCGTCTCGACTAGGAGCTTCATGCTAGTCGATTTTTAACCAACATCAAAAAAGGAGGGTTTTTGATTCGACAGTATGTTTTCTTTTTAACCGACTTCTAAAACACAAAAGAGGAGGTTCTCAATTCGTCTGTATTTTTTTTTTATGTATGTTTGTTACGCGATTTCTCCGTCAATTGTGGACCGATTTTCAAAATTCTTTTTGTAATCGAAAGGGTATGCTCCCGAATTGGTCCCATTACCACCAATTCAGGATCTGATGATGGGATCCTAGAGAAATCGAGGGAAACCCTCACAATTATTGGGAATTTGACAGCCCCGACAACGTGTTTTAGCTACGAGTATTTCTTTAAAACCATGGCAACCGTCAGAGACTGCGCGATGTGATGCGCAGAGAACTTGCAGTATTTATGTCACCACAGTAATTTTCGTTGTATTAATAAGAAGAAAAGGTTGAAATTTTGTATTTTATCTTGTTAAAATAATTCGGATAGACGTTTTGTTGCTATGGATGGCATCGCATTTCGTTTGTAAGTAATTTTATACTTAATTTATTAAAATAGTTCTGGAAAAAACTCTTAATTTTTTTTTTTTAACGTGTGGAAATCCCCTCGGACCGTCACCCCACCGGGGTTTGCGGCGGGGTGGTGTGTCGGACTCGAACCGACTAAAACCACACGGTGTGCCCTCTTTGCGCTTCCAGTTTAGGAGGGGTCCAGGTAGTTATCGCCTTCTGGACCCCTCCCAGCGCCGGCCCGCTCCTGGTGCGGGCTCCGTCTTCAATTATCCTCTCTTTAGGCGACGTCCGGCACACGTGGACGCCGCCCCCTCGCGGCTGGCCAACTAATGCGGGTGGAGGGGAAACCCACCCCGTCCACCCGCGGCCACACTCAGGGCGGCATGAGGCGCAGGTAAGCGCGCCTCCGCCGCCCGGTTCGCCGGCGGCGGATCAGGTCCGAGTGGAGGTCGTCCTCCCGGGCCTTCTCCGCCGCCTCCTTCTGCGAGATTACCTCCTCGCAGAAGGTTGCGACCGCGGTAAAACAACTGTCGCTACCGGCCATGGAGCGAATTACGGCCGGTAGCGAGAGATCTGCTCCGATGACTGCAGTGAGGGCCCGGCGCTGCGTCGCCCATGCGGGGCAGACCGCCAGCGTGTGCTGGGCCGAGTCCTCACTGCAGTCGCAGTGGTGGCAGGCGGGACTCAGTTCCCTCCTAGCGACCGAGTGCAGGTACTTTCCGAAGCAACCGTGCCCGGAAAGCACCTGCGTCAGCCGGAAGGAAAGGGCCCCGTGCTGCCGCCCTGCCCACTCGGCTATGACCGGCTGGAGAGCCTCCACGGCGGCGAAGCCAGCGCGTGGAGTCTCCAGCCGGAACGACCATCTAACCATGGTGGCTCGGCGAGCGGCTTCGCGCCACTCGCGCACGTCTTCGGGCGGAGGGCGAAATCCGCTCTCCGCCCGGAAGTCAGCCACTCGCCGATAAACTTCGGCGAGCACTTCCGCCTCCAAATCCCACGGGGGTGTTCCGGCCAAGGCGCAAGCCGCCTCGGTGGACACCGTGCGGTATCCGCGTATGGCTCTGACCGCCAATATCCTCTGGGGGCGCCAGAGGCGCGCCCTATTCGGGGCGGTCAGAGCCGCCACCCACACCGGTGCACCATAAAGCGCCATGGACCGGACAACCCCCGCGTACAGCCGCCTCGTGGGAACACTCGCCCCGCCCAAATTGGGCAAAAGTCGCCCTAGGGCGGAGGCAGTGTCCACCAGCTGTCGGAAGTGCTCGTCGAAGAGCCACCTACCGTCTAGGACCAGACCCAGGTACCTCATCTGGGCCCGGACCGGTACGAGGATGAGCCGACCTCGATTGAGGCGCCGGCGGGCGGACCACGACGGGGCCCATGAAATAATAGGGCCTCCGTCTTATCCAGGGCCACCCGTAATCCCAACGCCTCAATGCGCCCGACCACCTGGGAAACTCCCGTGGCGGCCAGGCGCGCCGCCTCCTGGAAGTTAGCCCCCCGGGCCGTGACTAAAGTGTCATCTGCGTAGCAGAGTACACCCAGCCCGGGGGGGAGACGCCCTCGTAGGGCCCAGTCGTATCCAATGTTCCACAGGAGTGGTCCTAGGACAGACCCCTGCGGAACACCGCACGACATGGCCCTGCGTCTCAAGACGCCATCTCGGTCCTCGTACATGACGGTTCGCTCCTCAAGGTAGTCTGCCACCAGCCGCCTCAGGTACTCCGGCACTCCGTGGTAGCGGAGCGCTTCCCTGATGCAGCTGAATGGCAGACTATTGAAGGCGTTGGCGATGTCCAAGGACACCGCCAACACCAGTCCGCCGCAGCTCACGGCCTCCTCGGTCACGGCCCTAAGGCGCATTACGGCATCGATCGTCGAACGCCCCGCTCGGAAAATTTCTAACATACCAGTATTAACCCTTTCAGTTGGAACTCGTTCTATAAAATATTGAGCATATTTGTTGAGTAGTCTCACTAAAGCTTCCCTATCTTCACCTTCGAGGTCAGTGTCAATTGAATCGGAAGCTATTTTGTTCGGTTGCAACTCACAAGAATTTGACTGTTTCTTAGAAAAGAATTTAAGCTGATCTTGATCAGTTTGGACGCCAATGTAGGAGAGGCCTATGTCCAGCAGTAATTTAATATAATATTTAATATAATCTAACAAACTACAGTTTGTTACTATACATTACGGTACGTAGTGTTTTAAATATCGTACTTATCTACTCATTACAAACATATCCTACACTAAAAATGGTAAAATAAACCCTTTTAAAAAAAAAGTTGAACCGACTTCAAAAAACACCGACAAAGAGCACTAAAAATTAAAAAATAATTACAAATCTAAGTAAAAAACTATAATAAGTACCCTCAATGTAACAGGTAACATTATAATACCAATAGTCCCTTCTAGTCTGTTTGAAGTCGGTGATATATATATTTTATATCACTCACTCAGGAGCTACACAACTCTAGTAGGCAGTCGTATCGGAGAAGTCGCGGTAGTCAAACATACTTGTTTACATAAAGGTGTGCGTTACCCCAGCAAAATAATGTCGAAAATGGTCATTTAAACGTTATAGATAATTAGTTGCCCCCCTTCTGTAATTGTTAGGCACATTTTTAAATTTGTTTCACTTAATTCTTTTTAGTTATTTCAAAAAAACATTTCCTGCTGGGGTAACATTTGAAACGTTACCGCAGCCAGACATTTTCTTTTTTAATTGGAATATTGAAATAAATATTAGCTAAATAATTAGTTATCTGGACGAGGTAAATGTTACAACTTATTTGGTATTTGTATTTTCTTCGGCTGCGAAGTTATTCGAGATCCTGCTGGAGGTAGAAGGAAAATGAAAGCCACCCAGTACGAACATGTCGTTTCAGCTCATGCCAGTAACATAAAGCAACGACGTTATATTTAAGTTTCATAAGCGGTTAATAGATTATACTTGGTACGAATAAGTCATTAAAGTTAGTAATTTAATAAAAGTACATACTGGTAGCGTGTGAATACTAAGCATGACGCGAGGTTATGAAATATTGATGCTAATTCTGTTCTAAAACTAAACTAATAATTAGTTTAGTCCTGTCAAACATTTCCTATTCTGACGTAACGTAAAACGTAGTATTTGACGGGAGTAATCTGATTTTTAGAGCTTTTTAGTTTACTTCAGAGTTTTCGAACAACATAATTGGCACCATTGTTACCTATTAATTTAACAGTTTTCTTACACTAGGTACGTCCGCCGCGCCAAAATACGACTAAGCGACGACTGAAGCTTCGTAGGCCTCCCCTTTTTAACCGACTTCAAAAAAGGAGAAGGCTCTATATTCCACTATGTATCTCTAAATCTGCTCATATTTAGTTACAAAAGTGTGTCTTTTAAGTACGTAACAAAAGACATTAGGCTTTTTTTATACATCACACAATATAAATAAGCTAAAGATCCTGATCAGAATAATCAGCCAAATTTGTCATCGGTACTTGATAAGTATGCGAAGTTTTAAATTAATTTAAATGTTTTGAAGTGAGTCAAAATCGCGTTCGAAGATTCCGTTACATAGATAGATACATACATACCAAGCTAATAAAAAAGGCAATATTGCAAAATTTATTTCCGTATTGATTGCGACGCACATAAAGCTTTCTGATCCATAAGTTTTCCAATCCACGAAGAAAATGGTAGTCCGTTGGAGCAAGGTCTGGCGAGTACGGAGGACGACGTATAGTTTCTAACTGCAGCTCCTGTAGAATTGCAACGGTTTCCCGTGCAGTGTGAGGTCTTGCGTCATCATGAAGCAATAATGGTGAAGATCGGCACAGTAAATATCTGCTGTTATTGCTTGACCAGACTTGAGAAAGCTATAGTGAATAACACCATAAAGAGACCACCAAAGTTACCATTACCTTTTTATTAGTAAGCGTTGCTTTAGCAAGTTTTTACTGTTTTTACTTTACTGTTGCGCCGTTTGACCTGAGGTCAGCCATTGCATTTTTCACTTACGGTCATCGTAAACCATTCACTTTTCGTCACATGTCACAATTCGATCTAATATTCCTTCATTTCTGTACCGATTCAACAAGGCAATACAAGTTTCAACACATTTCTTTCTGGAGATCAGTCAAATCCTGAGGCACCCATTTTTCATACTTTTTTATCTTATTGATTTCATCCAAATGAGTCAATATTGTAAGTAGGGTAACGTTAAACCATGCCGCTAATTCCTGGGTAGTTTAACTCGGATCGGCTTTCACCATCTCCTTCAGTCATTCAGTGTTATTCACCTGTGTGTGTCTTTCACGCGGTTCATTCTTCAAGTCGAAGTTTCCATTACGAAAGCGAATTAACTCCTTATAAGCAGTCTCCTCTTCTAACGCAGCGTTGATGTTACGAGCCGTTTCTCATTTCTGCCGTGTTAGTTCAATTCGTATTAAAATGACTCGGATATTCCCAGTATCAATCTTAATGTCAATTCAAAGTATCTATTAGTACCTATACAACGGCAATTTCACACTTTAACCCCTATTACTAAGTCTATTTTTTTATTTTGACATTATATCTGACATTTCTATAACAAACATACCTAGCTCATATACGAGTAATATAGTGTGGTATTAATGATTATTGTGTTTTCCATGAAACTAATTTAATTATTATGGTCAAGAAATACCTTCAATCAGTTTATATTTGTACGCTGTCGATGGCAAAACATGTTGATACACAATAATCAACCTATAGGATTTTGAAGCAACTAAATATTTATTATTATTATTATACCCAGCTGCATACTTTAGTGACTTTTCAAGTTCCAATTTGGGGTATCGGCACAAGCGATTAATATAAGAGTTACAGTTAACACGTTGACACGAGTTATATGTGTAGGCCTTACGCGACTTCTCATCGTGATCTTTTTTTTGTGGTATAAGGGAGGGGGGGGGGGGGGGCAAACGAGCAACGATCGACAAATAGATGTACATATCACACAATAAAATGCAAAGTATAAGGCAGAATCGCAGTCTAAAATAATTACAACAAGTGAAAATAAAATAAATTAGCAATTTTCTTTTCTTCATTTACCTTTATTATTTCTGGCTTTCTATCAATAGATCTATTGAATTAAGTAGTTATTTTAAATTTTGAAACTAACTGTCAACTCGTAGCCTACAAAATATGAAAATACAAAAAGGTTGTCTTTTTAGTTTAAAAATACTTGTTATTCATTATTGAAGTACACTTTTTTAATAACTCAATTTGTTTTTTGGAAAAAACATGAAATTATTTAATCTTCATTGATTATTTTTTTCTAGACATAATAATTCCATTAACTATTATTTGCTATTCACACCTATTCATATCTATGGAAATACATACTACCGTTTTCTCAATATTTTTATGATTACCCATTTAATGTAGATATTAATGAAAGCTTAATAATACCACAGTCTCACAGAAAATGGGTGTTTAAGCATTCTTTGAGTGGAAAAATCGGAGATATTGTATCGTCATTGCGGCGGTAAGACCCGTTATTGAGGATTGGCTCGACAGGCAACATGGAACCCTTTCATACCGGCTGACGTAGGTGATCACCGAGAAAGGATGCTTCAGAGATTACCTGTGCGCGTGCAAAGAGCCAACGCCGGGAGGCCACCACAGCGATGGTCAGACAGACCGTGGACACGGCGCTCCACACGGTGGGTGTGGAAGAGGCGTGAACTCGCCTTTTTATTAAGATTATGTCCTTATGATTAGTATTAATAGCAGTTCTAGCTGAAGATGAAGAAAGACAAATACGAACTGATACGTTAAAGGGAGTGCCATGCTGCGGCGCCAATGGCCCGGCTCGACCGGTGTGATACCTCGGCTTCACAGAAAACCCGTGTTAAGGAATTGTTTTGTTGATTTCATCAAGTGAGTGAGGTTACCGGTGCCCAGACGCTCCCACCCTTGATAACAAGGGAAGGAGGGCGGCGGGAGGGTTCATAACCCTGTGACCTATGTGGTTCGGGATGGAATGATAATCAGTAGAGTAAAAGCTAGCGGCGGCCCCGGCACTCAGTATCTTTGTGCTAAGATAATAAAAAAAATAAAAAATCTCAAGACACAGATCTTGGGATTTGAAATTTGATACCCATATTGAGAGAGTTGTGCAAAAATATATAATCCGTCATTTTATGGCAAAACAAATATTTGCAGATCATACAAACATTTGGTCTGAGTTGGGAATCGTACCCGTGACCTCAGCACAGTAGTCGTACACGCTACCACTACGACAGTCACATTAATGCCGTTAATGTATACATACTTACTTTTAGGAAAACTGTATTTTTTTTACATACTTAGCTAGCGAGTTAAAAATAACATAAAATAGTTATAGGAGCTGGCCGTTTACTCTAGTAGTCATGGTAGGTATAATCTAAACAAACATTTAACTAAACCTAAAACGGCAGCGTTTCGAAAAGTGATCTTTCCTCTTTGAACCCTTCTTTTATTTGTGAAATTATAAATAAGAAAATAAGACAGAATAATATAAAGGCTTTTCTTGACCTTAAAACCACATATTGTTAATATTGTTATTGAATAGTTAGAACTTACGTATTCGGTGTCGTTTCCCTGCAACGCGTCGAGTAGGTCGTCGGCGGTGAAGGCGGCGGACTGTGCACCGCGCGGTACTCCTCGTCGGCACAACACTCGAGACATTTCTTTCTGTTCGGAGGTTAGGTCACTCCACAACCCTCTGCACTAGCGCACAAAGTGTAAAACTCGCAAGGTGCGTGAGCGCAGGACTGTCGCCGGGGTGAGGGTTGTTGCTAATATATACCTATACTCACATCCCTAATACAGAGGGCGGAGGGTCGTGCTCTGCTCCCTACCACTGCGCAAATTTTCGCAACGCCCTCCGCTAATCGTCCAATTTTTTTCTTATTGGCCTGCATTATTATTAATTATTCTGTGATATAATAGTGATTTTGGAGGAAGGCTGTCGTTGCTACATTATATTGTGCAGCCCTATGTATATGTATACGATATAAGTAATTGTAGATATTTGTCGTAATTACGTAGTCGAAACCAATAACATTAAATAGAGATCGTGTGGCGGTTGAATTTCGACCATTTTGGTTGTCTTGTTTTATTACAATTACCAGTATAACTTGAACCTGCCTTGTACAGTCTCTTGTAACATGACAGGTCAACATTAAAAAAAAATAAGTGTTGAATTAATATATACTGTAACTATGTTTTTTTATAAGATATTTTTTTTATAAGATGTCTTATAAAAAAAAATATCTTATAAAAAAAATAGTTTATAACTTGAGCACCTGACACCTTGACAAAGAGCACCAAAAACCAAGCAGCCATCGCGGTTGATTAGCTGTCATTTTTTAAAGAGTTCCATTGTCTGTCTCCGAAACTCATCATCAGATCTATATGAAATTTAAATGAGATCATTTCGAACCTTTAAAAAAGAATGGACCGAGTTATGCCCAAACATACATAAAAAACAAAAAAAAGGCCGAATTGTACCTCCTCCTTTTTAAATGAGTCAAATTTACAATTCGCTTCAAATATTGTTTTTATCTCTTTTCATTTCAAGGTGCCACGGTGATGCGTGGCAGGGTACAGCCACGTATATAATTATGAATTACATACTCCTAAATTAAATTTTCAAATTAGTGTGAAAAAAAAAACAAATCGGTCTTAGGTCGGTGTCACTTGACAGTCCAACAATTAGATACGAGTGTACACACAAATAGACAACAGCTGACCGCTGAACAGCACGTGTTCAGCGGTCAGCTGTTGCCTATTTGTATAACTCAGAGTTGCTGACTAGATCTTTAGAGAACGAATTCGAATTTAATTTTCCCATTGTTACATTCTTCAGAATTTGTTATCTAGGTCAAGGCTACAATAACACAATGCCATGTAGGTAACTAGATATTTTTATTCTAAAACTTCGAAAGATTAACTAAATACGTCTAATAAAAGTTTTCACAGAGACAAAACAAAAGAGCCTAAAAATAAGTAACAATGCACGAAACGAACTACCTCGCCATATCTAAAGGGTCCTCTACACCAACAGGCGATAGCAAATTACATTATATAGGTACCATATACCTGTTATACCCTTACCCCTGGTAATGAGACCGTCGTCACACAACTTATCTAATTGATTTAGTTAATGCACGTACACCGAAGTTCAATTTGAAACACTGGTCATTTTATAAACAACAAATAGTATAAGTAAGATGGATTTGTAAACGTAGACAGTATCCAAATGTTTGACTTAGGTTTCCACAGCTATAACCCGTGAGCTTCGCTGGGACGTATCTTTCATTTACTTATTATCTATTAAGTTTACAAATAATTATATTAAACAGAAAGAACATTGCGGTCTGTTACTTGCATTATCGTTTTCAATTTGCTAAGCCTAAAGTTCTCACCAGTCAAGGTTTAAGTTACATAATAATATTGATTTACTTTAAGAGGTAGGTAGACGACAATTCGAGTTCAAGTAACGTAGATGGAAACTGCAAAAGGAACTTTCTTCGTCCAAAACATTTTAACAGCCCAATTTGTATACAGTGTGTCAGTTGACGAAATGTCTGAACGGTTTTATAATACTTACTTGTCGACAAATTTTTCAGGAAAGGTTTAAATCAATCATCACACACTCGACCAAAAATGCATGACATGCTGTGTTGAGGCAAAAGGCTTATTCCATCTAAAGTCACAACGCCTTCGGTGTCAGGAATGAATTAAATGAAAATATAATTTACTTGGTATACGCACATGAAGTCTCAATGCTTGAAATAGACTAAAATATGAACGCACCACGGGGCATGTTCAGTTAAGTGTACGCAAATTTGGAGCAATGTTCATCGATGTCACTAAACACCACTAGACATCAGTCGTCACATCGGCCGCCCTGTGGTCGCGTCGCGTCGCCGCCGCTCGCCTGAAGGCAGCGCGGCGTCACTTACAGAGCGACCCTGCGCTTTAATTTTCCGCTGAAAAAATTAAACCTTGTTTTAATAATGATTATATCTGCTAAGTGGGTGATGTTGACTAATAGTAAGCAATGGTTTCGTAAAGTTCGTATTTTTTAAATTCGCAATGTTTTTATTTGTTTTTAAATAAAATTGTCGACTTCCTTGTTACTCTTATGCGGCTATGGTTAGAATGACCTGTCAAATCGATCAATTTCAAATCGATGTCGATATCGATTTGAAATTGGTTGTCAAGCCTAGACTTTCATCATATTATGAGTTGGGCTGTCTGGCAAAGTGGTCACATAAGAAACAGAACTTTACGACATAAAGAAGGAAGCACCTGTACCTCCCCACAGTTTACATTGTCCATACAATCTTAGTGGCAATATGTCCACGGCAATACTACTTATACAATTTATATTAGGCTACGTGCGAGCAAATGACGAGCATCGATACGGACTGTGTCGTTAACACAGGTTCGGTACATTTTCATATGTCAAAGTTTTTATTGCATCAAGTGTACATAAATTCAGGTGTTACAATTATTAGGGATTTCCTTCCTCGGGTACACTTGGTTCCCCAGCAACTGGTACCCGAGACGGCGAGCGGTTTTTCGAGTCCGAACTTACCACCACTTAGAAAAAAAAAGTGTTACAATTAAAAGTCGTACTTTGTACGTAGTGCCTTTTCCAACCATGCTGAGGGCTTACCAATTGTTCAAATAGTAAATTTAATTATTCATGTTCCTAAATTAATATATTTATTTGTAACTAGCTTTTGCCCGCGGTTTCGCCTGCGTGTATGTCGGTAAAAAGTAGTCTACAGCACTCAAGGGTAATATACCTTACTAATAGTAAAGGGTTTTGAAAATCGGATCATGGTTATGAACATGGTTAGGTACCTATTCAAGGGGTGCGTGGTCCGGAACCTCCTTGTGGTGCACCCTGGGCAACGGAGACGGCAGCGCCTCTCTCCCTAGGTGGGGGAGGCGCTGCCGCCTGCGGCCAATTCCGGCCGAGGTGGGAACGGCCCGTCAAGGGCTGTTCGGAGGGCCGCTTTCCGCGTGTCCCTCTGTTTGGCAGAGGGCATAGGGGAGAGCGGGCTGGGGGCGGACGGGTCCACTGCAGCTGGCTCTGTCCAGAGGTGGGGGACACTGGTCTGACGCAGACCACCGTCCGGCCATGTCGTAACCCTGACTGGCAACGGTCAGGAATGACGGCTCTTCGAGGGCTACGAGGAAGGCAACCTCTATAAAAAACCTTGGGGCGGACGGACCCGGTCTGGTGCAGACCCCGTCCGGCCCAGCCGTAATCCTGAATGGACAGGACCGGTGGATCTTCGGATCCGCGAGGACGTAAACCTCTATAAAAAATGCTCTAAGCCCACGTTCTGACGCCTGGCAAGGGGCTGAGTCGCTGGAGGCAGTCCAGTGCCGAAGGCGTCCCCGTCGAAGGACGTTAAACTAACTTTATGACATGGGCCCAAAGATTTTTAAATCTACCCAGGAGGGTACCAGACGCACTGCGTCTGGAGAATCCCTCCCGGAGCCAGACGGCTCCGGCAGCTCCCAAACGTACTCTGGGGGGAGCAACCTCTGTCTAACCTGCCCGTCGCCGAGCAGTAAATCCGGCACCCAAAAAAAACGCGGAGGACGCAAAAAACCTGGAGGTAGTGTCGAACACCGACACTGCCTCAGAGATGAGCGAAGCGAGTACCCCGATGGTCTCAGCTGCGGAGCAGCACCAGAAGGGTACTCCAAAGCGCAAAAGGCGCTCGCTTCGCCTTGGCCTGAAGAGGCAATTGGAGTCGGCCTCGAGCGATGAGGCCTCGGCTCCCAAAGTCGGCACAAGCCGCAGAGGCGCTCGCGGCGGAGGCCGACTCCCTAGGGTTGCCCAGGAGCAGAAGAAGGAGCCCCTACGCTCCTACGAAGCTCCCGTGAAGAGGGTCGCGTCCGAGAGGTCGATAGACGTGACCGAGGTGAGGAGCGAGAAGGAGGGTGGCAAAACCGGCAACTCCGTCGACCGGATTGAGGAGGCAATCGGCCAGGCCGATTGCTTGCTTCGGACGTCCGGGTTGGCCGGGGGCCCCCAACAGGAGGCCCTGGTAGCGGTAGTGCGCTCCATAATTGAGGCGGGCAGACTCCTCGTGGCCGAGAGCAAGGCCCACGCTAGGGAGAGAGCCCGCCTCGAGGCGGATCTCGCACAGGCTCGTGCTCACGCTAGTGCCACACCAGCGCCTTCGGCACCGTTGGCGCTGTCCGCCCCGGAGCCGGAGCCGAGCTTAGTCCGACTCATGGCGGAGATGGAGGAGCGGATAATGAGGCGCATCTCCGCTGTAGAGAGCGCCCGTTGTCGCCCACCTCTGGCTCCGCCAAAGGCGACATATGCGGCCGCTGCCAAGGCGGGCCTAACAGCCCAGCCAGCAGCTAGGGTGGCTGGGCCGTCATCAGCGCCCCCGCCCCAGAAGGCCGGAAAGGGCAAAGGGAGGGGGAAGGCGGCCCCAACTCAAGCCCCAGTCTCGGCCCCGGCTGACACAGCACAGCGCCCGTTGGAGCGGGGCTGGACGGTGGCCGGGGACAGCAAAAAGAGGCGGAAGGCCGCCAAAAAAGCGGCCAAGAAGGTGAGGAGGGACGCCGCCGCCGCCGCGAAGGGAGCGCCGAGGAAGCTCCGCGCCCCTCGCTCCTCGGCCGTCGTAATCACTTTGACGGCGGAGGCAGCGGAGAGGGGCGTGGGGTACGCCGAGGTCTTGACGAAAGTCAAGGCCAACGTGGACCTCAAAGCCCTCGAGATTCCGGGCGTCCGGTGTAAAAACACACGGACGGGAGCCCGGCTCCTCGAGGTAGCCGGCGCTACCAGTGGCCCCAAAGCCGATGCCCTAGCGGCTAAGCTGAGGGAGTCACTGGATGCAGCTGACGTCCGAGTGTCCAGGCCCTCTAAATGCGCCGAAATCCGCATCACGGGCCTGGACGACTCTGTCACGGCGGACGAGCTCAGACTCGCCGTGGCGGAGACGGGAAGCTGCCCTCTGGACAGCGTGAAAGCCGGAGCAATACGCTTCGGCCCCGGTGGACAGGGGGCAGCGGTTGTCAGCTGCCCCATCGCGGCGGCCCAGAAGGTCGCCGATGGACGGAGCCTCCTGGTCGGAGGTTTCCTGAGGGCGCAGGCACGACTCCTGCAGGCCCGACCGGCAAGGTGCTTCAGGTGCCTGTCGGTGGGTCACGTAGGGGTGCACTGCACGGCGGAGGCCACCGTAGGTGACCGATGCTTCCGCTGTGGCCAGCCCGGTCACAAGGCGGGTGGCTGCAACGCTCCGCTGCGTTGCTTTAGGTGCGCAGCGGGGGGCAAGCCTGCCGACCACCGGGTTGGTGGTAAGGCCTGTGCCCTATCGCGACCGAAGCCGGGAGGCCGACCTTCCGCCTCCGAGCCGCTGATCCAGACGGAGAGTGCCGCTGGACAGCCGCAAAGTTCGCTGCGGGATGCGGGGATGGAAGTCCAGTGATGGATCCACATCTCCGCATCCTCCAGGTGAACGTAGGCCACGGTGCCGATGCTCAGGATCTTCTGCTCCAGAGCATGGCACAGTGGTCCATCAACATCGCCGCTATCGCCGAGCCATATGTCCATCGGTTTCTCGGGCCTGCCTGGGAGACCGACTTGGACGGCACGGCGGCCCTGGTGCACGGTACCGCAGCCGGCACTCCACCTCTTGCAGTAGTTGCAAGGGGACGGGGCTGTGTGGCGGCGATAGTTGGAGATATAGCGGTCGTGGCCGCTTATTTCACGCCGAACCGAAACCTAACTGAGTACGAGCAATGGCTCGCTCAGCTGGCCGTCGTCGTCGATGCCTGTCGCCCCCACCCGGTTCTTGTGCTGGGGGACTTCAACGCCTGGTCGCAGGCTTGGGGTTCCCTGCGCACGAACCCGAGGGGCAGGGCATTGGAGAACTGGGCTGAAAGATTCGGCCTAGTTCTCCTAAACCGGGGGGCCGTGGCCACGTTCGTGACGGCGAGGGGTAGTTCGATCGTGGACATCTCGTTCGCGTGCCCCTCGCTAGCGCGTCGTGTCCAAGGCTGGCGCGTCGTTGTCGGGGAGGAGACAGGTTCGGATCACCGATATATTCGGTTTGACGTCTCCGCCCCTGCAGATGGCGCGCCGGTCAGACCGGCACCACCTGAACCACGTTGGGCGCTCAAGCGCTTAGATCGCGACCTCCTCCTGGAAGCCGCCATCGTACAGGCCTGGGCTCCTGCGCCGGACAGGCCTGTCGACGTCGATGCTGAGGCACAGTGGTTCCGGGAGGCCATGACCCGCGTCTGCGATGCGGCGATGCCTAGGGCTCAGCCCAATACTGCAAGGCGCCAGGTCTACTGGTGGTCGCCGGAGATCGCACGGCTGCGTCAAGCCTGCGTGACCGCGCGCCGCCAGTGGTCCAGGTTCCGCAGGAGGCGTCGCCGCCCCGAAGATGCGGCAGCGAGAGAGGCGGAGCTGTTAGCGGGTTACAGGGTTGCCAAGAGGACCCTTCAGGCAGCGATAAAGCGGGCCAAGAGCGAGGCCCGCCGCGAGATGCTGGAGACACTGGAGCGGGATCCGTGGGGACGCCCCTACCGTATGGTTAGGGGCAAGATGCGCCCATGGGCCCCGCCGCTCACACGGTGTCTTCAGCCAGAGCTGCTTGAGAGGGTCGTTGGCTCCCTGTTCCCAACGCGAGTGGTGGAGCATACTCCGCCACAGATGGCTCCGCCTCCGGCGCTTGAGGCGCCTAACGTGGATGACGACGACGTGCCTGAGGTCACTGGGGTGGAACTAAGGGTGGCGGTGTTACGGCTTAAAGCCAAAAACACCGCCCCGGGACCCGATGGCATTCCTGGCCGAGCGTGGGTCCTGGCCTTAGTCGACGAGGCTCTCGAGCCCCGACTGCGAGGGTTCTTCAGCGCATGCCTCGAGCGGGGCCAGTTTCCGAAATTGTGGAGGACGGGGAAACTGGTCCTCATCCGAAAGGAGGGGCGCCCGGCGGACTCA